TCTTTCGATAATGAAAAGATAACAAGCAGTTTTCAAACATGAAAGCTTGCCTGCAAAATTCACATTAAGTTATAATTTAGTCAATTTTTCAAACTCCTATATCACTTTTGTCACCGATGGCATGAAATGGGGCGTGAGAGAAATGGCGGAGAATAGAGAAAAAAGAAAACGAAGGCGGAACGGAACAAAGCAGGGCGGAACGGAACGGGACGCAAAAGAGATGGAAAAGGTGAAGAAAAATAAAATGACAACGAGTAAATATTTTTAAAAAGATAAAACAAATAAATTAAAAAGGAATTTTATGGAAGTAAACATGCCAAACTACTAAAATAAATCTGAAATGAATTATCAATTTTGATGTTCATAAATTTATATAAACTTCGATACTTCATCAACTATGAAAAAAAAAAGACTCCTACATGAAAAGCCTAGAAATGTTACGCTGTCGTTTAATTTCAAAATGACGTAATATTCAGCAATATGAGAGAAGAAAAAAAACACATATAGAAATTCTTTTATGCTGAATTAATTCGTGTTGATAATGTTTAATACTGTGATTATGGAGCATATTGGTTGCTGTAGTAATTTTTAATCGGAATAAATTACTCCGAATAATTAACTACTCCGAATAATTAACTACAGCAATTTAATTCGTAAAAAGATTTTGCGGTAAAAATCTCGATATTATGATTTTTCAATAAAAATCTTCTTTTCGCAGCGTTTTTTATTTATATAAAGAATTAGAACAAGTTTTTTTTGCAAGCAGAGAATAGCTACAAAAGTTGCCGCGAAAATTGCTAAACTGATATAATATTTTTTTCTCAAAAATTATTCAAATTATTTTTAAAAAAAATTGAAGAAAAGTTGGTGAAAAAATATTGCTATCGCTGCTAGTTTAGCGATACTTTTTCAATATATTTCAAAATATCTCAAATTCACCAATAACAACAAAAAAAGAAACAACAAAATTTTGAAATAATTTATTCTCAAAAAATTTAATTTAATAGAAACTAGTAAATAATTTGAACATTTCGTTTATCAGTTCATTCTAGTTGTAAACTTTAGTACTTATGTAACCGCATATATAAAATTTTTCCAACAAATATACCATTGGAAAATTGAAGTAAATAATCAAAAATTATATGAAACTAATAAAGGTTTAAATTATTTAAAAAATATTAGCTACACTTTTTTTGGAAATAATATCCAAAATTATAATGACTATAAAGTTTCTATATTTATTGTAATTTTTATTATAATTGTATTTGTAACTCTACTGTAATTAAAAAAAAAGTTGCTTCAGTTTCATTTTTTTTTTAATTTTTATCAAATAGTGTAATATTTAATCTTAATTTTGAAATTTTTAGTGGATTACGGCTGATTAACTAATTTAAATTAATATTACGAATAACTAACATCACTACTTGTTGATCGTGAACTTTGATCAGACAAAAATATGAGATGTTCTTGTTGTTCACAATAAGTATCACCAATATCAGGAATATTTTTTGCTGTAGCTGATAATGTTTGATAATAACACACCTCAGTAGTTGATTGTAGCCCAGTTGTAACAGGTTCAATTTCACGTAATTCGTCTTGGAAAAAAACTCGACGATCGCTATTGATACCAGTAGTATTTAATAATGCTGATTGTATCACATGTGATGATTGTACTGTATCGTTGATATCTACTGTATCATTTGTAACAGTAATATTATTATCAGCTGTTAATTTATATTCCGCTTGTTTTTGTTGCTGTTGCTGTCGTTGATGATATTGTGATTGAGGATGAAAATCGGATGATGTTGATATTGTTGATGGTACTGTTGATATATTTCCTGCTGCATATGTTGTATGTAAGTTCTAAAAAAAAAGATGTAGAGAAAAAAGAATGAAATGAATTAAATTGAAATTGATCACAATTTACATCATAAAAATAGTAGATTTTTAATTTTTAATTTTTTCTAACAAATTGAAAAAAAAAAGAGTGTTATAGTAAAATGGAATTTTGTAATTTAATTTTGTTAACAAAAAATATGACTACAATTATATTCGAAAATTATCAAATATCATAAATATTTATAAAAAATTTCTTTTTTTCTTTTTAAATTCAGATTACAAAAAAGTTAATATATGTGAAAGAATTAAGAATTGAAAATTATCATTTTTTTTTGTCATATTAATGAAGTACGATTTCTGCTAGAAATTACAACTTTTTTAAGTGACAAATTTATAATTCTCAACGCTGCAATAAATATCATTATTATCATTTGTTTAAAAATCTTGAAAAAAGAAATGATGCGACAGATTTTTGATGATTTGAAATAGTACTAAATAATTTATCAGATGTATTTTATCAAATCAAAATTTGATAATTTACTAAGAATTTACTGAAACAATAATGTGAAACTAGGAGGAAGTCGATAAATTAAAACTCTTTTTTAACAGGTAAAATTTTCCCGGTATTGTTTTGTCATAATTTCAGGGCTAGTGAAAAAAACGCAATGATAATTTTATTAAATGATATCATTGATTTCATTTTTGCACTGATCGGAATTGATGCATACGGAAATTATTGTACAGTAACATCCATGTAAATCAGTAATGCAATAAAAAATTTTATGATAATAGTTATTTTTTATAATGATGATTGTTGAAAATTCTTTCGCGTTTAATTAATTTAATGGAAACGTTAAATGTTTGATAGTTAAAATGTTCAAGTTTATTACTGTACTGTAAACTTGTTAAAGTTTGAAATATAATGTTTGTAATTAAGATTCTTTTGTACTTGAACTTGTATTTGAACTTCTTACACGTAAACATTCACATATCATATTACACTGATTTTTATTGGAAATGTAAAATTTATTGGCTGAAATAACCAGATTTAAATTAAATATGTTACAATATACTTTAAGAAATGTAAATATTAGAAGTTGAAATTAAAATCTTGCTATGTTGCGCGCATAATATTTACAAGTTTAAAAGTTATATTTTTCAAATGCGTCGATAAAAGTGCGGTAATCATATTAAATAATTAAAATATCTAGAAACATTAAGATTCTATTATTCTTTTAATCATATATGTTATATGTTTGAATTCAAATAATAATTGTAGTATTGGTCATCATGGAATATCAAATAAAAATATGCTAACGACATAATTAATGGTAGCAATTAAAAATCATCGCAAAGAATTAAAAAAATTTTAATCACTCTTCAACATGCTCTTTTTGTTGCAAATTTTCTCAATTTTATAAATCATTAAAAAAACGGCTAACTTAATAAATTTCATATTTGATTACATAAATGAGAAGAAGATTTTTTTCTTTTAAAATGTTTATAAAAAATTGTAAATTATGTAGCGTAAATGAATGAATGAATGAATTGACAAAAAACAAATACAAACACTGCTAACATTTAAAGCACATATTTACAGTTGTTTTAGATGAATTTTGCTATTTAATCCATTCGTTTATACCATAAAATTAAAACAAAGAAAAGTTCAAACAAATAACAGACATTTTTTAGCCTTATTAAAAATTGAAAGATATTTCCATGGAAACGGTATCAAAGAGGGTGGAAAATGATGTCAATGAGTTCTCTCTCTCTCTGCCTCTCTTTCTTCGTGAAAATCATTATTGATGATTAAGTGAACATCATCAAATTATATATTAAAATGATAAAAAAAAAACAAAACAAAAGTCGAATAATGATTTAAAGTGTATATTTCAATCTTTTCAACTTTTTTCTTCTTCTGATTTCTCTCCCTCCCGTTTCTTTCGATATAATTAAATCTGAGTACATTGATAGAAAAATTACAGGTTAACTAAAGAAATATTATAGATTTGAAACAAAAAAAAAAAACTGCCTATAAATTAATTTTTTTTCAATTCTTCAAAAACTAAAATTATCCATTACTTTGAAATTTCCTAATCTAATAGAAATCTATTCCATCTTTTGAAATTAAAAAAAGAAAAAAAGAGTTATTCAATTAGAAATTTTGTCCTTTCATTAGTCCTATTCATAAGCGAAATGTAAGTCACATTTTTTTGATCTTTCTTCTCACATCTTTTCTATCTTTTAATAAATCAAAATTTCTCATTGACGATTAAAAATAAAAATGTAAAAATTTTGGAACAATTAAATTTCTGATTTGGGAAAAAAAAAAACATTGCTTTAATTTTTTTTATTTTTTTCGAACAACTGTCAACAGTCTTTCTATAGAAAGAAAGAATTTTTCAGAGTTATCTTAAAATAAGTGAAATTGACAAATAATGAATGGATCGAATTTTGAGGTAAATGTTTAAACATATATTAATGTTATTTTAAATACTATACTAAAACAAATATTTCAGAACAGAAATAACTAATTTATATAAAATGTTTAGCAAGTATAGAGAAATTGAAAAAGCTATTGCAATATTTATTCATTAAAATTCCTATACGCATAATTTTTATTGGTATTCTTTTTTCAAAAAAAAAAAAGGAAAAACCAGGAAAAATTACATAAGTAAAGATGTTCACCAGTTTTTTGCTACTACTTTTAAACTTAACCAATTATTTAAATTTAATTTGAAACAATAAAACGATTGAAAGTAGCTTTTGCTTTATCCTATGAAAACATATGTTTTTCAATTGTTCATAAAAATTTTTTCGATGAGTTAATTAGTTAATCAAAATTAATTACTTTTTATGTGTTTCGTTATAATCATGGAAACACTTTTTAGAACTACTAATTCTTTCTGACTTTTGAAAAATTTTGAAAAAAAAATCATGTATATACTTTAATGCATATCATGTATATAATTAAATTCATATAGAATTAATTCATTGTTTCGTTGAAATTCAAAATGATTTATATTGTCATGTGGCGTAAAATTATACAGTAAATAAAATGATCATAAAACTATACGGTAAAAGATATCATAATACGGTAAAAAATGTTATAATATGGTATGCTTGAAGACCTACAAAATTGCAATCTGACAGTAATTAAAGAAATTAACTTTTTATCATCCTATCAAATCTTAGTGTTATACATTAAATTCAGGAATAAATTGATCACTTAGTTTAGGATCAAAAATTTTCATGCATGATGAGATGCAAAACTATGCGATAAAGGATGAAGACAATAATTAAGCATATATTAATATTTTTATAGCTTATCAGTGTTAAGTGATATTATCGTTATATCATTTTTCTCACAGAAAGCGTCCTATGTCTCGAAGGAGTGATTTCATAATCCATGCAAAATTTAATTGAAATAATTGAATTATTCTAAATATCAATAATGTCCAATGATATAACAATAGTGACAGTGATATCGATAATATTATTGAACAAATATTTTATAATACAATTAAATTGGTCATCTTTCTTTAAAATAATCTATGAGTAATTCCAAAAAATTCAATCAAAGAGAATGCAAATAATTATATCAGCAATAGTACCTATGAATATCGATTTAGTAACAATAAATAAAAGATTTCGAAAAATCATTTAAAAATTACTCATTCAAAGCGAATTAAACAAAGAATTAGAAATGAAATTGAAAATGGCGAAAATAAAAGTATGCACGCATGTATAAATAATTAATCATGCAAAAGGTAAAAGTTGTTTGAATGAAAGGATTAGGAAGGGAGAGTCAGAGAGAGAGAGAGAGAGAGAGAGAGAAAGAGAGGACGAAAGAAAAAGGAGGAGAGGGAAAGATTTCATTTAAAATATCTGATGGAATTGTTTATTTTAAGTGAAATTAAAGAGTGTAGGATAGGAAGTAAGGAAAAAAAGGAATAGTGGCAATGGGATATGGAAAGTGTGATGATAAATCAGAGAGGAAAAGAGAAAATTTGAGAGG